GTGGCATCACAGCTCACAGCAACCTCCAACTCCTGGGCTTAAGCGAGTCTCCTGCCTCCACCTCCCAAGTAGCTGGGACCACAGGCGCCCACCACAATGCCCGGCTATTTTTTGGTTGTAGCTGTCATTGTTGTTTGGTGGGCCCAGGCTGGATTCGAACCCACCACCTTAGGTCTATGTGGCTAGAGCCTTAGCTACTTGAGCCACAAGTGCCAAGCCCAGGACTAGGCTTTAATTCAAGCTTTGCACCTACTACCTCTCTTGGGTCTTGCTGTTGGCCCCTCAGGGCCTTCGTTTTGTCATCTGCAGAATGGTGATGTCTCCTATGTCATAGAGTTCTTGTGAGGATCAAATTAGGTCATGGATATAACAGTGACCAAATACCTAGGCATCCAATAAATATCAATAGAATGTGAACCTAAGGCCTCTATGTTATTTTTAACGTGTGTGTGGGAGGGGTGCATTTGAATGTATGTGAGGAAAATGTAGTAATTACATGTAATATGCCGTCAGCCTATGGAGGCAGGTAAGATATGGAATATAAATGTGTGTGTAGATGTGAGTACATATTTCCTGAAGATACTTTTTCAAATTCTATTTTACTTCGTTTGATTTTACATCTTTTCAAACCATATACACACGCTAGAAAATGTGTGGTGTTGGTTTTACAGTGTTTGTAGTAGATCGCAGATTTTACAGTCTTTGCAGAGTATAAAATCTGTTGCAGACTGTAGATTTTACAGTCATGGCAGCATTCTTCTTGTCCCCCACCCCCATTTCTTTTTTTTCATTGGGCTAGGCCTGTTGTGGAGGCCTAGTCCTTCTCAAAGCTAATAGTCATGAATACTCCTACCCAGATTTTTCTTCCAAATGAAAACTAAATGTTAGTCCTGCAGACCTGTTTAAGCTCATATCAGCAAGTGTTGTGCTTAGTGTCCTCCTATCAAATGTACAATTTGTGGAAAGCAAATAGTTTTCTTAATGGTAATGACATGAGTCACTGAATATGTAGAATGTGTTATGTGCATTATATACATTGTTAACATTATAGCAAACTATAAAATAGTTGTGGTACAGTTTTGTAGATAAGAAAACTGAAGCTTAGAAGGATAAATATATTCCCCAAGGTCAGAGAACTAATAAGAGAGAGAACCAGAAGGTAAACTCGAGTTGGTCTGCCTGAAGTGAGGGATAAGGAAGGCTGCCACCCATTCACTCGTATAGATGAATGAAATATGTTCTAAGGTATAAAAAAAGTTAGAAACTTAGTGGGGGTACTTCTGGCCTTGGAGAAAGCAGAAGCTGAAGCACAATCAGACCGCACATCTATTCTCAGGGGATTGTCCCTGATGCAGCTGAGGCCCAGCTGCGAGGCCCAGCTGCAAGGCCCTGGCTCCCTCTGGCTGTCTTTGTTTTTCTCTAAGCCTGTTTTTTCCTTTTCTTTCTTTCTTTTTTTTTTTGACAGAGTCTCATTTTGTCATCCTTGGTAAAGTGCCGTGGCATCATAGCTCACAACAACCTTAAACTCTTGAGTTCAAGCAATCCTCTTGTCTAAGTCAATCCTCTTGACTTAGGTCCCAGTAGCTGGGACCACAGGCACCCACCACAACACCCGGCTATTTATAGAGATGGGGGTCTTGGTCTGGCTCAGGCTGGTTTCGAACTCATGACCTCAAGTGATCCACCCACCTCACCCTCCCAAAGTGTTAGAATTACTGGCGTGAGCCACCGCGGGCTCTAAGCCTGTTTTTCTACTGTGATGGGATTTCTCTAGATAGTTCTCAAGCCATTGCTCATCATTTAGAACTATGAATAATTCAACTCCTTTCCCCAACCCCAGTTCCATTGCCTACCCTCCTACCATAGAAATGCACAATAGGATTATTGTGAGGATTTTTTTGTTTGTTTGTCTGTCTGTTTGAGTCAGAGCCTCAAGCTATCGCCAGAGTGCTGTGATGTCACAGCTCATAGCAACCTCCAACTCCTGGGCTTAAGTGATTCTTTTGCCTCCGCCTCCCAAGTAGCTGGGACTACAGGTGCCTGCCACGATGCCCAGCTATTGTTTGGTTGTAGTTGTCATTGTTTGGCAGGCCCGGGCTGGATTCAAATGCGCCAGCTCTGGTGTATGTGGCTGGTACCTTAGCCACTTGAGCTAGCGCTGAGCCTGTTGTGAGGATTTAATGAGTCAATATGTGTAAGGGCTTATTTACTTATTTATTATTTTGTTAAGACAGACTCACTTTATTGCCCTTGGTGGAGTGCCATCGGTTCATAACTCACAGCAACCTCAAACTCTTGGGCTCATGGGAGCCTCTTGCCTTGTTTTTCATTGTTATTAGAGACGGGGTCTCACTCTTGCTCAGGCTGGTCTCAAACTCCTGAGCCCATGCAATCCACCCACCTCGGCCTCCCAGTGGCTTACAGGCCATGTGTAAGAGTTTAATACAATGTCTGGTACATCCTTAGTACTGAATAACTGTTAGCTATTATTATTTTTATTGTTTAGTTATATTATTATAGTGGTGGTGGTGAAGGTGGTAGTGATGACAATGGAGATGATTGTGATGATGGTAGTGGTGGTGATGGTGGCGGTGATAATTGTGGCAATGGTGCTCAGGGTGATGGTGGTGGTGGTGGTGGTGGTGGTGATATTGGTGGTAACAGTAGTAGTTGAATCATAGGTTTTACAACACCTTTCTCAAGGACCTGAGTGTTCCCTGTCCTGAATCTGGCTTTATACAACTCATTGTCCTGGCATGGACATTCTCAATTAGATACACAGGATGGGTGGAGGAACAATCAGGAAAGGAATGCTTATTTCTACCCAGAGATTGCCAGAAGCAGTTCTCTCTATGCCCTACTTCCTTATTATCAGCCATAGAAACAGTCCATGAATCCTACTTCTAAACCACATCTTTCTGACCTGCTTCTTTTCTTCCCTTTTATCTATGTAGATAGAACATTAATGGGTTCAGAGTCACTGACAGGGTCATAAAAAAGCCCTTTTTTTAGTTTTGTAGGTCATAGCTTATACCTGATCTTCATGCCAGGTTCCTGGCCCCCAGCTGCACACTTAAGTTCCTTCTCTGGAAAGGCTCGCTGGTCGCCCCTCCCCCACTTTTAATTTCTATTCTGGTCGCCCCTCACCCACTTGTAATTTCTACTCAATTTCCTTGCTGGTTCCTTTTTAATATTATCCATTTCAGCATATGTGTTGACTTTACATTTTTTGCTTTCCAGTTTATTTGTGTAATTTTTATATTTGATTTCATTTATTATTCCAGATTTTGCATAATGACAGAGGTTAACAGTGTGGGAAAGGCTATTGACAAATGCCTGATGTTATAAAACTTCCCTCAGATCCAGTGGAAACAAACCCTGAACTAGAGGTTCTTTAACTCTTGTCTGCCTAAGAGTTAAAGAGAAGCATTCCTTCTTAGACTCCCTTCCACGAGCCATAACATTACACTTAGCTTATCTCAGTTAATAGTGTTTGGCCCTTACTCTCACTTTGACCAAATGATAATATCTGCAATCTTTATCATCTTTCCTACTTTATAATTTTAAACTATCTGTTTTAATTTGATTTCTAATGAATTTTCCATTTTCTAAACCATAAATAAATGTATAGGATGTAAAGGAGATAATTTAGGATTGGGGGGTTATTTTGTCCACAAGTAATGGACAGTATTTATACCAGTAAGAAACAGTATTTACTGTAATATTTCAATTCAGAAGTAATTTACATTCTTTCTAGAAGGTGAGAATTCTGAAAGGTATAAAAGGAAGAAAATTAAAATCATTCTATTCTAACACCCAGAGGTGACTGAAGATGAAATGTCGACGTATTTCCTTCTAATCGCCATTCCACTTTATATATTCAGTTATATATATATTAAATTTACATATATATATTTTTAGAATTATACATTTATTAACTAAAGCCTTATAGTTTATACAAACTATAATTCATGTTACATTATATACCAATATTGGGATAGTCCAGTAATTTTTTTGGGTACACATTTAATAAAATAATTTGATAAAACTAGTGATGTTAAGAAAACTAAATTAGATGGTTTCTAATTATAGAATCTGTATGTGCACATTACAAACACGGAAATACTAGAAAAGTAGATGGTGAAAATTAGTGAGTGCTAAAATTCCCCTGTTCCCACTGTTAACAGGATATTTATAAGCAATTATTTTAAAAAATTTTCTTTTGGATTAGATTTATGAAATAAGTGTAAATATATACATATCTTTATGAAATATACTCCCTATTGTGAGGGAGGGAGTATAGAAGAAATGTTCTTTGCTTTTGGACTTAGGCAAACATGCAGTGAATGTGTTTTGTGAAAAACCAGAATGTGTTTTGTGAAATAATATCTCAGCTTTTTTCTCCATGCTCTAGGTATGTATTCTTTTTGGATCCATGCAATCTGGACTTGATAAACCGGAAGATCAAGTCTGTAGCTCTGTGTGTAGCGGCCTGCCCAAGACAAGAACTGAAAACCCTGAGTGATGTTCAGAAGTTTGCAGAGATGAATGGTGAGACGTTAGGCCATCCAAATCTATGCCTCTCCTACCTATTCTCACTTGTAAATATTATGTGCTCAGATTACAAGGTAAATTTGTCCTGCTGTTAAATACATCATCGAGGAACTTCAGAAAGAAAAAGAAAATTGGAGTAATTTTGGATTTCCTTTCTTAAAAACTATTATAGACACCCGGGGAGCTTTTCTAAACTCTAGATCCTGGCTCCCACCCCAGGAAATTCTGACTGACTGGGTCATTGGGCTCTGGAAATCTATATTTTTAATAAATGTCTCAGGTAATTTTGATATAATCTATTGAGTGGAAATTACTAGACCATTCTATGTAAAATTTGTTTCTTTTTTTCCCCCTCTTCTCAAGTGTTAATTTGAAAATATTTCAATTAGGCCAGGTATAGTAGTTCGGGCATTGTAATCCTCGCTTTCTGGGAAGTGGAGGCTGGAGGATTGCTTGAGGATAGGCGTTCAAGACCCCCTGAGCAAGAATGAGATCTCATCTCTAAAAATAACTGGGCATTGTGGTGGGCACCTGTAGTCCCAGCTGTTTGGGAGGCTGAGGCAAGAAAATCGCTTAAGCCTAGGAGTTTAGGTTGCTGTGAGCTATAACACCATGGCACTCTACCAAGGGTGACAAGTGACTATCTCAAAAAAAAATAAATAAATAAATAAATAAATAAATAATTTTTTTTGTTGTTGTTAGGATAAATGAATGAGAATTAGCTGAGAAAACCAGTATGGTCAGTTTCTTCAACTCTAGCTTTGTTTCCTTGGGTTTCTTATCTCCAGGTCCCATCTTCAGGTCCATATGGTTTGCCTCAGTTCTCTTCAGAGAACTTTTTTTGAACTACTCCTCTTGGAGGGCCACATACACATGGCCCCTCAAGTCCATGTTTTTGAACTTCCTTGAAGCTTCATATTTGTGGGGGAATCATGAGCTACCTCAGTCCTGCCCAAATGCACAGGTTAGATATGGTTGCTTGGAACAAGGGCTGACCACTCGGACAACTTCTAGCTGTGAACCGACAGCCTGGGGCCATAGCTGTGTGCACACCACTGTGGGGGGGAGTCTAGCCTTCTGAAGGCAGGAGGACTTACCTTCCAGGCTGGCTATATCCTGCCTCACTGTTCCATGACCTCAATGTAAGTCAGTGAAAGGAGCATGAGATTTGGACCTTGATTCCAGTGCTGACTTTGTCACTGATTGGCTCTGTAATGAAGGGCAAAAGACATAAGTTTCTCTGAGCCTAGGTTTCCTTATCTGAAAAGATGCAGATTAAAAATAATACCTCTTTTGGCTGGGCACAGTGGCTCATGCCTATAATCCTAGCACTCTGGGAGGCTGAGGCAGATGGATTGACTGAGCTCAGTAGTTTGAGACCAGCCTGAGCACAAGTGAGACCCCAGCTCTACTAAAAGTAGCAAAACTAGCCTGGACATAGAAGCAGGCACTTGTATTTTTTGCAGTTCTTTTTTTTTTTTGGTTGGGGCTGGGTTTGAACCCGCCACCTCCAGCATATGGGGCTGGTGCCTTACTCCTTTGAGCCACAGGTGCTGCCCGTAGTAGGCACTTGTAGTTAGTCACAGCTACTTGGGAGACTGAGGCAAGAAGACCCAGGAGTTTGAGGTTGCTGTGAGCTATGACACTGCAACACTCTACTTGGGGTGACAGAGTGAGAAAAACAAAACAAAACAAAAAAGCCTCTCTCATAGATTGGTCATGAGGATTAAACGAGTTGATGCATGAAGAATAGTGGACATTTGGTAGGCGTTGAATAAAGAGGTGCCAACTACTCCTAAGTATCTCGTTTTCTGTTCCCATGTGACATCTGTGTGTTTTCTGTCCCATGTGACATCCGTGTTTTGGCCTTATTCCTATTAGGTTTCTTAGGAGGAGTGATTTCTTCCTATTTTTCCAGAATCTTAGACAAACATGAGTAGACACAACATACTTTGGCAGATGGTGTAGTTGAGTAGTCAAGAGTTGAGCTAAGCTCTGTAGTGACATTATTTGGATTCAAGTCTTACTTCTACTATTTAATGACTGTGAGACCCTGGACAAGTTACTTGACTGCTCCTTGCCTCGGTTTCCCCATCTGTTACATGGGGATAATATTTGTACCTAACATGCCTCATAGGATTGCTATGAGGAGTTAACACGTGAAAAGTGCTTATAAGAGTATCTGGCAAACAATAAGCTGCTGAGAAAAACTGCTGGCTACTGCTATTATCATCATTATTGTTATTTATAACATTATTCCACCAGTGGAATGTAGTAGCCTTTCTGTTTCCAGTCTCTCTTTACTTTGAGCTCTCTACATACTGTTGCTCCTAGAGCTTCAATCAGTCCTAATCCCTTGCTCAGAAATCATCAGTGGTAAAAAATAAAAGTCTGTATTTCTTACACTGTCATTCAGAGCTATAATCTGGCCTTGCACCATCTTCCACTATATCCTCCCAGACTTACTGGATGTGAGGCGTGCTTCCCTATAACTGAGCAGTCATCTGGTGGGCCAGAAGAGAGCCAGGTCCTTGCTAGCTACATGGCCTCCTATGATTGAGGGAAAACGCCACATCCTGACATGCTTTGTTTCCAGGCCAGTGGCCTTTTAAGTGAATATGATACTGCGTGTGGCCTATTCAGGTCTAGGTAAAAAGACCCTCCTGGGGTATTAGAGAGAGAGCATTAGACATAGAGGACTAAATACCTTATTTTAGTAGCAACCCATGTTGAAATTCCTGAATTTATCAAAAGAACCTATATTGTTCTTTGGATTGGTGACTTAAAATTGGATGTGGTAAGACTGAATTTTCATATTACCCTTACCGCCGAGAGAATTCTTTCTTTGCTTTGTGCATCATTTTCTCCCATTTTTGTCTTTTTAAGTGATCTTTTCTATAAGTTGAGGGGCAAGGTGATTCAAAGGAGCAAATAATTTTCACTGGTGTCCCTACCCATAATGTTGTCACAGTTACACTTCTGTTAGAAAATATGTATACTGTTTGATCTTACATATAAAGATCTTAAGAATTCATTTCAGAGAGGAATTATCTCTAAGATATAATTCAGGCTTAAATGGGAAATTTTCAGATCTGTAGAAGCTGTAGTTACAAGTCTATAGAAGAACCTAAATGTAAGAGCTTCACTCTTAGAAGAAAACATGGGGGAAAGCTCTGTAGCATTGGTTTTGGCAATAATTTCTAAGATGACACCAAAAGCTTAGGCAATAAATGAAAAAAAAATAGATAAATTGGATTATGTCAAAATTGAAAGCTTCTGTGCATCAAAGGACAAAACCAACAGAATGAAAAGCCATCCATGCAATGGGACAAAATATTTGCAAATCGTATTTCTAGCAAAGGGTTAATATCCCAACTAGATGAAGAACTACTATCAAAAAACCACAAAATCACAAGTGTTTGTGAGAATAGCAGCTGCTATGGAAAACAGTATGGAAGTTTTCTCGAAAAATTAAAAATAGAAATAACATATGATATAGCAGTCCCACTCCTGGCTGTGTATCCAAAAGAACTGAAAATAGTATCTCACAGGATATCTGCACAACCATTTTCACTGTAGCATTATTCACAATAGCCAAGAGGTAGAAGCAAGCTCAAGGTCCATAGACAGAATAGATAAAGAAAATGTGGCAGTTCCTGAGTTACAAACGTCCAACTTGCATCAGCTTGGACTTGTGAATGGGGGCTATTAAAGGTAAAAGGTGATAAGTAAGTGTACCTGTTTCAGCTTCCAGACAAATTCAACTTAAGAACACACCTACAGAATCGATCTCATTTGTAATCTGAACACTGCCTGTATGGACCTGGACACTTCCATACTATGGAAGATTAGCTTTAAAAAAAAAGAAGAAAATCCTGTCATACGCTACACCATCTATGAAACTTGAGGACGCTTTCTAAGTCAACTAAGGCAATTAAGCCAGTCACAAAAAGAAAAACACTGCGTGATTCCACTTATGTGAAGCATCTAAAAGAGTCAGACTCTTAGAAACAAAAAAAGGTAGAATTGTGGTTGCCAAGGGTAGGGGAGAGAGAGAAAAAAAGGAATTGACTAAGAGTTTCAGATTTACAAGAAGAAAAAGTTCTAGATAGCTATTGTGTAAAAATGAGCATCTAGTTAACACTGCTGTACTATACACTTAAAAATGGTTAAGATGTAAGGCTGGGTGCAGTGGCTCATGCTTACAGTCCTAGCACTCTGGGAGGCCAAAGCGGGTGGATTGCTTGAGCTCAGGAGTTGGAGATCAGCTTGAGCTAGAGCAAGACCCCGTTCCTACTAAAAATAGAAAAACTAGCTGGGCACCTGTGGTCCTAGCTACTCAGGAGGCTGAAACAAGAGGATCACTTGAGCCCAGAGAGTTTGAGGTTGCTGTGAGCTATAATGCCATGGCATTTAACCCCAGGGTGACTGAGTAAGGCTCTGTCCCCCCCTAAAAAAGTTAAGATAGGAGATTATATGTTAGTGTGTTTTCACCACAATAAAAAACAGTAAAGGAAATTCAGACGCTTGCTACAATATGGTTGAACCTGGAGAACATTATGTGAAGTCACACAGGCCAGTCATGAAAGGACAAATACTACAAGATTCTACCTAGGGTGGCGCCTGTGGCTCAAAGGAGTAGGGAGCCGGCCCCATATGCCAGAGGTGGGGGGTTCAAATCCAGCCCTGGCCAAAAACTGCAAAAAAAAAAAAAAAAACAAAGATTCTACCTAGAGAAGTCAAATTTATACAGACAAAAAATAAAATGGTAGTTTCCGGGGGGCTCCTGGGAGGGTGGAAAGGGTGTTAACTCTTCAATGGGTAGAGAGTTCTGGAGATGGTAGTGATTCTTGCACAACAATGTAAATGTACTGAATGTCGCTGAACTGTACATTTACAAATGATTCAGATGGTAAATTTTATGTTCTGTGTATTTTATCATGATCTTTTTGAAAGTTCATAAAAGAGAAGCATCTCACTCGAGGCAGCAACGTTTT